AAATCTTTGCTGAAGAAACATGTAGTCATAATTCTCAAAGAATTGCTAGCAGTTTTGCCTAAGCTGACTCCTTAGGGCAGTGGTTCTCAACCTGTGGGTCGGGACCCCATTTGGGGTCGAACGACCATTTCACGGGGGTTGCCAAACAACACAGTCCGCCATTTTTTCCGCCTTTTCCTTAGCTGTGCTACTCCCTTTTATTCTATTGACTTTTGAAAGCCAATAGAATTAGACTCTCTTGAATAGAGTCTAATTCTATTGGCTTTCAAAAGCCAATATGAATTGTCCAGGCTGTCTCTGCCCTGCTGAGCCCGCCAAAAGTCCCATTCTGCAAACGGTGCTGCCCCAGTTGAGTAGTCCTCGACTTACGACCGGTTGAGTAGTCCTTGACTTACAACCGGTTGGGGGTCGCGGCATTAAAAAGGTTGAGAACCACTGCTCTAACGAATGTTAGTTTAATCAAATCCATGATTTTTTTGCGGGAACATGCTAAGAAGTAATGATGAGGACAACTACCACTATTGTGATCTATTTTGGCAACTCTAATAGAGAAATATTGTGTGTTCTGGGACTCAAAAGCAAGTAACAATTGAGATTATTTTGGTTCCTTAACAGATACGCCCATGTGAAAGAGTTCCTGGTACGGAGGAAGAACAATGAGCATGCCACAGAAGTAGCCCTAGAAACCATGCTAAACCACTTTAATTGTGCCAAGGACCTATTGTAGGAACTCCTGTATTTTTTATTCATGGTAACATCTGAGAAGCAAGTCAAACTATAATTTTCAGCGCAAGCTTCTATTGCATTTCTATTTTGTCTCTTTAAAAAAAAAGATGTATGCTCTGCTGGCTGGGGAATTCTGGGAGCTGAAGTCCACACATCTTAAAAGTTGCCAAGGTTGGGAAACACTGTATTAGACAATGTACATCTTCTTAAAAGAAGAAAGAACCCCTATAATACAATACGCTTATCCATCAAGGATGCCAAATATCTGCAGGGTTGCATCTATATCATCCTGCCTCAACCTGGCACCTTCTACAGATGTTTGGACTGCAATTCCCAGAATTAAGTATAGCCTTGGATCCTGCTGGCTGGGAATCCTGGGAGTTGGAATGATTGCCCCATTAGGAAGACTAACCTTTCAACTTCTCTTGAGATATGTCCTACGCCAGGGGTCTTCAAACTTAGCCCTTTTATGACTTGTGGACTTCAACTCCCAGAATTCCTCAGCCAGCATGGAGGAACTAAGGCCCCTTCATGATATGTGGACTTCAACTCCCAGAATTCCTCAGCCAGCCACTAGTCTTAAGGTGGCCAAGTTTGGAAAGCCCTGCTCTAGAAAACACCAGGAAAATTGCCACAGGCACTGAATAGATAGATGCCCAAGTATGTTTTTGGAAGTCTTAGCTGAACAGGATGAAATCCTTCATTATCTTTATCCCAGTTCCCCAAATTTACTGAATAGTTCTGGTTGTCCATGAGGAACCAAGTCATGAAACATTATGCTTCTCAAAAAACCCAACGGAGTTTTAATTCAGTGACTCCTGAAACATTCTAGATTAGTCTACATCTTTAGGGATCAGTGGGTGTCTGTCACCTCTATATTTACCTAGATAATGCTCGTATTTTGTTACACACTTATCCTGCCACCAGCATTTATATCTGATAAAATCAAGCATCTCCCCTCACAACTATTAATAAAACTTGGGGTTTCTAAGAATAGAATAGAATAGAATAGAAATAAAAAATAGAATAGGAATAGAATAGAAATTGAATAGAAATAAGAAAGAATAGAATAGAAATAAGAAATAGAATAGGAATAGAATAGAAATTGAATAGAAATAAGAAAGAATAGAATAGAAATAAGAAAGAATAGAATAGAAATAAGAAAGAATAGAATAGAAATAAGAAAGAATAGAGTAGAATAGAATAGAAATAAGAAAGTATAGAATAGAATAGAATAGAAATAAGAAAGAATAGAATAGAAATAAGAAAGAATAGAATAGAAATAAGAAATAGAATAGAATAGAGTAGAATAGAAATAAGAAAGAATAGAATAGAAATAAGAAAGAATAGAGTAGAATAGAATAGAAATAAGAAAGTATAGAATAGAATAGAATAGAAATAAGAAAGAATAGAATAGAAATAAGAAAGAATAGAATAGAAATAAGAAATAGAATAGAATAGAGTAGAATAGAAATAAGAAAGAATAGAATAGAATAGAAATAAGAAAGAATAGAATAGAATAGAAATAAGAAAGAATAGAATAGGAATAGAATAAAGATAAGAAAGAATAGAATAGAATAAACAGAGTTGGAAGGGACCTTAGAGATCATTTAGTCCAACCCCCTGCTCAGGCAGGAAACCCTATACCATTTCAGACAAATGATTGTCCAATCTAGGTCCTCCTGCCGCTTTGGATTTTAATTCTCCAATTCTCAACGGATAGCCACGTTGGTTGAAATGTTAATGTATCCGGAAACAATTGGCAAACACACTTGTTTTCTATCTGTGGGTAAAGAGAATTTTTTTTCATTCCAAAAACTGTCATTTTTAGAAAGGATAACAAGAGGTCACAGAGGGATGGTGTGACTTTGGCCTCAAGAAAAACTAATAAAAAAGCCATCTCGGGGTTAACGTTTCTTTTTGTCGTACTCAAAACACCAATTCTTTGAATCAGCCCCAAAACCTGGATTGATAAAGTCCTCCTTTAGCGTAGGAACAACATGCTTCTTTCCCCTTTTTAAGAATTTTCATTTAAATTCAGTTCACCTTGATACCCCTATCAGGAAATCAGCTTTTTTTTTTTAATAGAAGCAGCTCTGGATAGATTTTAATCTCTCGATGTGGAGTCTCACCGTTCTACTCAGAAAGCTTTAGGTATCCACTGGGGTTTATGTGTGAAAAACAATGTAAAAGGATGAAGTCGAGATGAAAAAAAGGGCAGGAGCTGTTTAACATTTCTGCCACGCCTGCCCTTCAGCTCACCCACTGCCATTAATTTCCAGATGTTTCTATTTTGCTAGCGCCATCTCAACCAAAGTCTTTGGAATTATCTCGTATGCTGGATGAGAATAACGTATACACAAAAGCAACGGATCCAGGCACATCTGGGTAACACTATTTCCAGCAGTCCTGGGACTAGACGTGGCTTGCATCAGCCGTGAATTTCTTTACAAAGAGTAGTAAATCTGTCCCCGTTTTGAAACTATCTTACAGAATGCAGTTGGACGCAGGATCCTATCCTACTCTGGCTAAGGTGTCCTTGGTTCCTAATGCCCTAAATTTAACCCTGGTTTTGCTTTTTACAAGATGTCTTTGGAGATTCTCAATTGTCCAGATCATGGTTGTCCCAAAGGTTGTTTCCCCCCCCCCCAAAAAGGCACCTGGACTTTCCTTTAGGACTTTTTACAAGATGCTGTTAAATCAACAAAAGAACTTCCTCCAAACCGTAGGTTCGCCCCTGAAAGCTAGAACAGAGAATCTAGTTTGCGTGGTTGAAAAGTCAATCCGTGTGGGACTGGATAGATCAGTGGTTCTCAACCTGTGGGTCGGGACCCCATTTGGAGTCGAACAACCATTTCACGGGGGTCGCCAAACAAGACTGTCCGTCATTTTTTCCCTCTTTTCTTTGGCCACGCCCCTGGCACCCGGTGATGTATAAGTGGTTGGAGGTCACCACAACATGGGGAACTGTATTATGGGGTCGTGGCATTAGAAAGGTTGAGAACCACTGGGATAGATCGATCAGATTCATCCAAGCCAAATTATCCCAAGGGTGCTATTTCAAGAGGCAACTGGACTGTCTTTGTTTTCCTTGGAGGACGTTTCGCTTCTCATCCAAGAAGCTTCTTCGGTTCTGACTGAACGGCGGAGGATGGAAGGATGTATGTTCCTTGCAGTCATCTGGTCGTTAGTACTCCCTCTGAGTCATTGAGGCCACTCGGAGATTTATCCGTGCCCCCAGGGTCACCTGAATAGTGCAAATGGGTGGGGAACCTTCTTGGAACTGCTGAAAGGACTGTGTTGTAAACAGGAGATAGGTCAGTGGTGGCGAACCTATGGCACGCCTGCCAGAGGCGGCCCTCGGAGCCCTCTCTGTGGGCACACGCACCGTCGCCCCAGCCCCACCTCCTCCCACGCCCCCCCCTCAGCAGTAGCCCCCCCCCCAGAGGAGAGTCGTCCCGGGGCGCAGCCCACGTGAAGCAGTGCAGCCAAGGACATGGTAGCCGGGCAGCGGGGACAAGACTCTGCCCTTGTGCCCTGTCGTGCGCAGATGATGCTGTGGGGCACGGGTGGAGGGCGTGGCCACCATGGCGCTGCTAGGCTGTGTGGGTGATCTGTGGCGGGCCGTGGAGGTGGTGGGTGGCCCAGCGGGCAGGCCAGAGCGGAGATGAGGGTGGGGGAGTGGTTTTTGGGCACTCGGTCTCTAAAAGGTTCGCCATCCCTGAGATAGATGTTGTTGTATCCCTCTGCCTCCGATTTCAAGCATCTTTGGGACAACCAGAATCTGGATGACTGAGAATCTCCACAGCCTCCAAGCCAAATGTTTTGGCATGATCTTAGTTTGGGAACAGGTAGGAGATTGTTCAATACGTTGTCGATTTCCTCACACGCCATCTGCCACTCAATCGTAGCCTTCTGAAAAACCATCCCAGCGCTAGAGAAGAACCATTTTGGTAGAAGTGGCCCGTGGAGAAGCAATTAAGCATCTTTTTTATCTACTGATACTTCATTAAAGTAAAAAAAGAAAAACCATCAAGAGGTGCTTGCTGTATCCCTCACATCAGTATCTAACCTGGCTCTGAATATATATATATATATATATATATATATATATATATATTAGATATATATATATATATATATATATATATATATATATATATATATAGGAGGAATTGAGATTTCATCATTAAGGATGACCCTACTCTAGACAAAACCGCTATGATCAGAGAAGAGGTTGGCATCCTCAAAAGTTAAAGACACTTCACTTGGTGTACAGAAATACTATATATTTAAGGAGGGTTTACTGTTGACAAATATACATCATTGGTGCTTCCCATCTAACAGTATGTGCAACAAAGGTTGTGAGAATGTGGTTTTCCTTCCCCCCCTGCCTCGCTCGGATAGCTGCTGGGGGGGGGGGTTCCAAATGAAAAAAGATGCGTCCTCTGTCACACAACAGCAGAAAACAAACCGGTGAACAAAATAGTCTATCGTAATAAAAAAGACCCTTTCTTTTTTTTTTTTAAAAAAAAAAACAAAACAAATTAAAAAAGAGAAAAGATTTTGAGTTCACAAGTCTTAAGATTGCAGCGGTTTGGCCTCCTTCAGCAAATAACCCCAAACAGCAGGTTATCCAGAAAGGATGGGAAATGTAAAAATGGCCCTCAAGTTCTTGTTTGGAGGCTCGCAGAGTGTTTGAAGGGGCTCCAGTGTCCAGTTTCTTTGCACCACGCTGCAGGAAATTGTGAATTTTTCTCCTCCGCGAGGCCTTCTTCCTGTTGTCGTTCCTCATAAATCCTCTTATATACTTTTTCCCCTCCAACCCCACTAGTAAAGGTTAACCCAAACCTAATACAGAGGCTCTTTTTTTTTCTGCCCACCCCGTTAAAAAAAGAAACACAACGAAAGAAAACCAACAAACAAAAACTAGGGATTGAAACAAACACCTCCTCGACCTTCAGCATTTTGCAGGAAAGGGCTCACACAATGGCGAAATGACACTTCCAAGAGAGAAGAGGGGGAAGAGCAGAGAAGGAGAAGAATGAAAAACAGCCAAAGGCGAGAGAGAGAGAGAGAAAAAAAAAAAATCTAACATAAAAGGATGTTGCCTGAGCTATGGTGCCACCGTGTTCTTCCTCCACCTTGCCTGTTTTCCGTAAAGTTCTTTGTGTGTTTTGTCTTTTTGTTTAGAAAAAAGAAAAAAAAAAGGCTCAAGTACAACGCAGTCTCAAACAGCTGTCTTTGGCAAGAAGTCAACGCCATCACCCCTCTCTGTCACCTTCTGCCCATCTCGCTCTGTCGCATAAAATGGATATTGTTTGCGCTGTCGGACAGTTCTGGGTACTGCTCGGCGGAGATGACGAAGTAGCCGTCGTACCCCTGAACGAGTCCCGTGTTCAGCAGTTGCTGCTTCTCCCCCTCTGTCCAGGACCGGCTACCCTCCTCCCCATCCTGCAGTCTCTGTTGCTCCCGCGCCCACGCGTGGCTCACGGCCCGTTGCCTGGCCAATTCCAGCACGCGGCTCTTCTCCTCGTCCAAACTGGTCCCGTATCGGGTGTTGAGGCACAAAGCTCCGTACTGGAGCGAGATGTCCGTGTAGCGTCTAGTCCTCCCGTTGAGCACGGTGTTGATTTGGGAGACGGTGACGTTGACCCCGTTCTCCAAGGTTCGCCTTCCGCCACTGAGGCCCAGGATGGACAAGTCACCGTCCGACGGCCCCGGTTTGACGAAGTAGTGGGTGTCCGTGCTGTCGACAGTGAAGTGCAAGTTCTCCAGGTAATAGGCGTTGTTGAGGATGGCGGCGACTCTCCGCCCGTCCTCGTTCGCGGTGCCGATGATATCGGTGGCCACCCGGCCATCCTTCATGGCAAACTTGACCCCCTTGCCAATGATGGAGTCTCCCGAGGCAAAATGGCGGTGCTCCTTGACTTCTTGGCATCCGGCGATGCTCGACGTGTAGATCTGTTCGAAGCTCTCCAACGTGACGAAAGCCTTCAGCTGCTTCTGCACTTCACACTGCACTCCTAAGATCGACTGCAGAGGGGCAGGGAGAGAGATTGAAAAGAGAGGGACTCACGTTAGATGCAAGATGGAGGCATGAAACTCTCCACAGGTCGTCCTCAACCCACGACCGTAACTGAACCTGGAATTATGGCCGTGTCTGCCATTAAGCAGGTCGCTACATGATTGGGACTGATTTTGTTATCTTTTTGCAGCAGTTCTGAAGCAAACACCAGGGTTGTTAAAATGAATGTAGCGGTTTTTAAGTGGGGCCCATTGTACAGGCTAGTCCTCGGCTTACAAACATTCATTTAGTGACCCTTCAAAGGTACAGCAGCACTGAAAAAAGTTACTTGTGACTGCTTTTCACGCTTACGACCATTGCAGCATCCTTATGGTCACGTGATCAAAATTCAGACGCTTGACAACTGGCTCATATTTACGACGGTTGCTGCGTCCCGGGGTCGTGTGATTGCCTTTTGCGACCTTCTGACAAGCAAAGTCAATGGGGAAGCCTGATTCGCTTAACAACTGTGGCCAGAAAGGTCATAAAATGAGGCAAAACTCACTTAAGAACTATCTTGCTTAGATGATCATAAAGCCTTCACAAATTACTTATAGGCAGTCCTTGACTTATAATCATTTCTTCAGTGACTGTTCGAAGTAGCAAAAGCCCTAAAAAAATGACTGATGACCCATCCT